CGCGACCTTTCGGCTCGAACCCTCGTTATATTAAAACGCTCCCCCGCTCAGCGAGCCGCCGCGGTGCAGCCGGGGCCAGACCACCTTTTGTTCCTCCGTGTTCCAGAGATATGAATCTCTGCGGGGCGGCGGGCAATAGCCGCTGTCGCGGCGCAGGCAGGCGGGGGAGCATCGCAGCACCGGCCGCACGTAACGGTGGTGTCCCCCGCCGATCGACCGCCGGCACACCGCCGCCGACGGGTGCGGGGCGGGGCGGAGGGTGGAGGCGGGGGAAAGGTCAACGCGGGGTACTCGAGGGGAGAAAAACAGAGACCGACCAGAGCAGACTGCGACACGGCGGCTGCGTCCTACCGCTCGGAGCTATTATACCAAAACATTTGACAAGCGTTGTCACATTTCGGCCAGGTAGGTTCACTGGCGAAAAGTGAGAAAGGGCGTAAGTCCAGTGCAAAGTCCGTGGACTTAGGCCCTTTTCACTTGTATGCGGTGTCTGCGTTGCCGTCAGTGCCGCGCGAAGGTGTACTGTCATGGGGGTGTCTCTTGGACTCACCTGAGTTGGGCTGTCCGCCGGAGTTGGGGCGGGCCGAGGGCGCGCCGTCGCGGGCCTCCACCTCCAGGGCGTAGGCGCCTTGCTTTTCTCGATCGAACACGATCCTGGTGAACACCTCGCCGGTCTGCATGTTGATCTCGAAGAAGTCCTTGCCCAGGTTGCGCGGCGAGTCGACCACGTAATAGTACACCTGCGTTGTGCAGAAAAAAAAGGAATGTCTCGGAAACGTGTACGGAAACATCGCTGTATGACGAGAAAGATGAATATTTTCGTACCTGGTTGTTGGGGTACGTTCCATCCTTGTCGATGGCGTTTATCTGCGTGACTCTCGTGCCGATGGGCTCTCCTTCCAGAACCAGCTCCTGCTCCCGTTCGGTGAAGAGGGGAATCTCGTCGTTGACGTCTTCGAGCTGAATGTGAACCGTAGCTTCTGAGGCTAGCTGCTGGGCGCCGTTGTTCTGGAAACGAGGATGGTCGTCAGCACGAGGAGAGCCGCACTACCCACGCTGAGGGTGACACGAGAGAACATACCTCCACACGTATGGTCAAATTATATTCCTTTATGCTTTCGTAGTCCAGGGGGTGGTTGACTTTGATGTCCGCCCAGGTGTTGCCATTGTCGGCCCGTTGTTGCAGGTAGAAGGTGTGGAACTTGTTGGTTTGAGCAGTTGATCCAGGCATCAAACGGTAGTAGACGGTAGGATTGCCTTCGATGCCCGAGCTAAAGTGAAATTACGCATATTAAACTTTCGAATCCCTCAAAAAATTGACAGTAACTTTTTTTTTAAACAAATTGCTTTTAATAAGAAGAAAATCGACTAGATGGATTTTAATTGTGTGATGGCCTCAAAGATCCTCCAAAACTTTATCAGAAAATCAAGTTAAAATCAAGAACAAAATCTGCACAAGTGCATTTTCTTTTAAAAATTTGAAAAAAAAAAATAATCATAAATTTCAAGATAAAACGTCTTGATAAATTCAGTTCTACAAAAACATTCCAAACATAATTTGTCTTTTAAAAATGCTAGAGCAGAAAAAATTCTATAGCACAGCAAAATCTACTGTATCTATAAATGCTGTCAGTGTCTTTAAAAACAGATTGATCACTAAGCAATTCTAACTACTTCAAACATACTCCATTTTGATTAAGGAGAAGGTTGAAAATAAAAATGTTGATAAAATAAAAACAAAATGTATCAGACTCAAAGAAATCTAATCAGTATGCAGCAAAAAAGAGAGCCGAATATTGATTTTCAAATGCATTCATGCAGCAGTAAAAATAAAACAATGCGCCATGTAGCACGCTTAAAAATGTACTCTATAGCATCCACAAAATTAAAGCAAATGACCATAAGGAGGTTTTAAAAAGATACATCAAACAGTTGAGGAAAACACAAAAAGGTTCCTCATTTAGGTGGATGCTATAGAGTTGGTAAAGTGGCTCAAGAATATGGTGCCACTTCACAAACCAAAGCTTACACAAAAGCAGTAAAAAAATTTGGGAAAAACAATCCAAAAGCTGAGCACACAGTATTCTTGGAAAAAGAATGACCTCTCAGAACGTTGAAAACTTTTAATTTAATCATTTTGTCAAAATTTATTGTGATGATATCATCATCTTCTAGGTCAACAGATTGTTTGTCAAATATTTTTTGAAGAAAAGAGGAGAAGAAAAATTATCCTCGGAGACCAAAAATTCATTTACATTTGAGGCACAAAAAAACACTATTATTAACTTCTCCCAAAAACATCTTCAGATAAGAAGACAGTTTTGACGACGACACAATTAAAAGTATTAGTTTTACACTTATACACCAGCCACATCCTGAAGATGGCATAATTTGTTATGCAAGTCCAGTAATTTAACACCTAGATACCTGAAACTTTGTACTGAGGCATTTGACACAAAATATGAAAACTATCTAGCTTCACCTCAAACACTATCTCTTAAGGATAACTGATGCTAAATCTGACTACAGTATCAAGTTTACAGCAGTCATTTTACTGTCCACTACTGATTTTTTGAAAACTGATTGTTGTAATGTCACAATGAGCTCAACTTAATCTAATTTCTAAGAGGTACTTGATGAATACTGTCAAATCAAACTATGGCAGACTTGCCCACAAGTCAAAGTCTCCATAATATCAGAAAAAAGAAAATTTGGGATACATTAATATATAGGTATTAATATGATTTGACAGCATTCAGGAATAAAAATTGCTCTGTTTGAAAAATGCATTTTCCCATCGCAATCTCATAACCACCATACCGTGCACCAAAGTCAAGTGTTCACTTCTGCCTAGGGACATGAAATGACTTGAAATGAAAAGACATGTTTCAATAAGCATTGAGAAAAGCAATGGGACTGCAAGCTCTTTATCTAGAATGAGCATGTCTTGGGAGGCTAGATTAATGTCATAGGTAAGGAAACACTATCTAGCTGGGACTGGAATGTGTGGGAAGATTCCTCAAACAGGAGCACACAGTATAGGCTGGGTTAATCTAATGCCTCTACCCTAAGTCTCTGCTTTGCACACAAAGAACACAATAATAGAAATTAAAATCAATACAAAGATTCGAACATGGATAGCCACACCAAAGAATGCGCCACGTGCATTATGACAGTGTGGGTGAGTGAGCGTGCAAAAATATAACCCAAACATCTCGCCCACAGTGTCGTGCAAGGAGCATTCCATAGAAATCTGACCACAGACCTGGCTTTAACCGATATAACTTTAGCCCCAACCGCTGTATTTTCTTTAATGAAGACTGGACCGTATTGAACATGGTCCCAAATCGGTGGGTTGTTTGCACGATCCACCACTTCAATCTGGACCTCCACTGTTCGAGTCAAAGGTGGATAACCTTTGTCGGTTGCAGTGGCCTCCAGCTTGTAAGTCTCTTTCTATTAAGGAAAATTTAATGGGCAAAAAACAAGAAAAAATCACGCAGTTAGTCACGGTTAGTCAAAAAATCGTTTATGGAACGCAGGGATCGAGGTGAGGGCCTACTCCAATGGGCTGCAGCAAAAAACCTGTTGGGAGTAAATTACACACAGAAAGTTCCAACCAGTACTCAAACCCTACATAGGCCACAACATACCATATTACTTCTGGCAAATAATGAAATAGTACAAGAGTGAGATTAGCAAATAAGGGTACAGTTTTAGGAATTGGTACTTCTTATTTTTATACACTTAACATGAAACTAGCTCTAAGATTTTGTGAATCAATTTTTCCAATGGTAGGTTGAGTAAGAGAAGGGTTGGAGTGCTGGGAAAAGCTTGATCAAGGTTAGTGCTAGAAATTCACACTAGAACGTTGTACAAACCTGGCTCGCACTGCTGTCACTATAGTACCAACTGTGACATTTTCTTTGATGCGAATGGGGCCGTACACACCCTCCTCCCATATGGGGGGCTTATTGTTCCTGTCTACGACGTCTAGTTCAACGTCCACGTCTGCGAACGATGGGGGAATGCCCTTGTCTGACGCTCGGACACGCAGACGATACCTTTCTCTCTAAAGTGGGAATGGATAAATAAACAATGGTGCGGTAAGATTTCAGTGAAATAGAAATAGACAAATAAAATTTTAAAAAAACAAAACAATAAACACAAATAAATTAAACCAAAAGAAATAAAGAGATAATGATCAGAAAAATAAAATCAGGAAGAGAGAGGGCATAGTAAGGAAAGGGCAAGAAATAAAAATAAAACCAAAAGGAAAGGAACAAAAGGGTAAATGATAAAAAGTAAGGAGGAAGGAGATGTATTGTATGTTTAGTGTGTATGTGATCACAAGAAGATTGTGTGGATCCTCCAACCATTGGTGAGAGAGAAGTTCACTAAGATTACTAAAGGTGTTCAGCAAAGATTTTGCATGTAAGGAGAGAGCGAAATCCTTTAAACCTATTCTGCAATTTTCAGCATGTGAAAATGAGGTGTAAGGATACTACAGGAAAAGCGTTGTCTATCGTCAGCTAATGAGCCCACACATAGTTAGTTTTGAAAGCAACAAATGAGAATTTTGCAATGTCGATGAGACCCATTGCTTAAATCAAAATCTTATGTGCTGCAATTCAAAACTCACATCAAATTATTTGTGCTTGCAAGCAATGGAAGTGCAAATTGAAATTCATAGCCTTAGAAGAGCATAAACACAGCACTTTCATGTTCAGTAGTGCATCTGAATTCACCTACTTACTGAAAAACATCCCTTGAAGTGATTCATTCCACGGAACAGAAATGGTGCAGTAAGAAATTAACAAATTAACACACTTCTTAAACCACATGTGTGAAGCAGGCATACTCATGCAGAGATGTGCAACCTTTACATTGAGAGAAATAAGAAAGAGTCCATAGTTATTGAACACCAAAAAGGGCCGTCTGACAACGCTGGGGAAGCATCCAAAAACTTGAGATGACTTCATAAGCAGTGGTATATGTACAATGCCCCATCCACAGAGATAAAAATGTCACAAATCATCCTCAATGGGAAACCAAAATTTCTTCATGAAGCCAGTAAAAAGAAAATTTTGGCTAAAAAGTGGTACAAATATGACCACAGCCAAATTTAAAAACAAATTGTGCGACAGTATTGAGACAAAACCGCATTGATAAAAATGTAAAAATCTTGCAGTGAGCCAGTTCAGAAACAACATGAATTGGCTAAAAATAGATAAAACATGAAAAAGAGCAAAATACACCTGCAGGATCGGGCACCGCCAGACAGCTGTTGAAAAACACATGAGACAGTTCAAAACCATTTCAAAGGAAAATCAAACTCGAAATGGAAAACCATTGTTCAAAACTACTTACAAACTAATTGCACATGTTATCTAATAAGAACTTTCATTATTGTCTTAAAAACAGGGACATGTGAAAAGGATGGAGAAAAATAAAAGGTTCAAACCAAAAATGTATAAAATGTAATGGTATGGACTTTAAAACAAATTAAAGATTCTCAAAGAAAAGTCTACAAAAAATTTCTAAACTTAAATGTGTTGGTCAACTTCAACACAGATTGCAGGAGTGTGCTTCAAAGAAAGCATTGATGTTGATGATAAAATAAAAATAAATGTATTGCGAACCAAACAAATGTGCAACAAGTTAACATATAACAAAGAAGCCCACCAAAGACAACTCAGATACACCCTAATGTTGAAATGTAGTGTAGGGATGAAAATATTTATACTTAAAGATAAATTGTTACTGAAAATAATTTCTTTGTAAAATGTAAAATAAACGGGGGTGAGAGAGATCAAAAGAAACTTGGTGTTCACTAGGATATCAGAGGGAACCAATTATGATTCTATACATGATATGGAAGAAAAGTTTCATATCGTGCTGAATTGTTTGGTGTCTGTAGTGATAGAATTTTTTGATTTCCTTTAAACATTAGGACAGAGCAATAGAATTTTTCAGTGATGGTATTTCATTAAAGGGACAGTCAAAGGAAGTGAAAGGCAAACAGTAGTTTCAAGTTATGGATAAGTATGTGAAAAAAAAAATACCCCAAAAAACTTACGTCCAAAGGCTTCTTTAAAACAATCCAACCTGATTCGGGTTGGATTTCAAAATACTCAATGTCTGATTGCATGACAGGAGCGCTCAGTGTGTAAATTATAGCACCATTGTTATCTGCATCTTCATCAGATGCTGAGACACGAAGGATATTAGTACCAATGCTAGCATCCTGCTTTACATTTTCAACATATTTCTGGAAGAAAACGTTGAAGGAAATTTGTTTAGTAAAATTCACTTGAAACAATAAACTTTATATCAGAGTAAAGTAAGGAAATTAATTTAAGCACCTGTCGGTCAAATAGGGGTGGATTATCATTCACATCAGAAATCTCAACAGTGAAAGAGCAAACACCTTCCAATGAAGGGTCACCCTGGTCAGTTGCCTTTACTGTTACTGACACAAATTTTCCATCATCACCCTCACGATCAAACACCTGTAAATGTATTGAGTATTTAGCAATGGCATACATCAATTTTAATCATGTAAGATATTTTCTTTTTTAAAATAGCAAAACAACATTTGAAGAAGATCACCTTGTTTGTTAGCACTTCACCAGTTTCCTCATTGACCATGAACTTTGTTCCCTTCTGATTGGGCTGCTGAACTATAGAATACTTGACTTGACCATTAACTCCTTTGTCATCATCAGTAGCATGAACCTATAATAGAGGAGAATAGAATAATGAGAAAACATGGTAACAAGGATTTAATGGCACTGCATGATTATATCCACTAATCTAATATACCTTTATAACAGGGGTACTGTTTGGAGCACCTTCCTCTACTTTTGGGTAGTAGGTACCACAGTCTTTAAAAACAGGTTTATTGTCATTGACATCAGTAATAAATACAACAACAACAGCAGTTGAGGTGTGTTTAGTTTGATCTCCATCAACACAGCACGAGCCGTCATCCATGGCAGTAACATTTAACTCATATTTATCTCGCTCTAGACTGATACTCTATTTGAATAAAAACAGACAAACATTGTGAATACGGAGAAGGTTTAAACAAGTTTATATTTCTCACATTAGAGATAATAAAAACATAACGTACCTGTCCATGAAGACGAATTACACCTGTTATCTCTTCGATGACGAACTGCCCTGATACGGTGCCTCCACCAACAAAACCGAAGCGAACATTGTCTCCGTCTTTGTCTGATGCAACAACAGTAGTAACCAAAGTATTTGGCCCAGCATTCTCATCAACATTTGGAGTGTAGACTTGCTGTGAAAACTTAGGTTCTTCATCGTTTTTGTTCTTGGTGTAGACTCGAATTGTGGCAGTTCCAGTTTTGGCTGGCTCTCCTAAAAATAAAACCAATAATTATAGAAAAATTTTGAGACTTAGTTGCAGGGAGGGTAAACAATACATGAAAGCGTACCTTTGTCTTTGGCTGTGACTGTGAATTCATAATAGGCATTGTTATTGTCGGCATCAAGCTGCTTGTTGTTGCTGACGACTCCAGCAGCGTCAATGCTGAAGTGATCATCGGACACTTCGTATTCGAGCTCAGCGTTCTGTCCTGAATCGGCGTCCGTGGCCTTGACCTTGAGGATGGAGGTGCCCAGCGGGATGTCCTCGTCCACGCTATGTGCCTGGTAGTCCGGCAGCTCGAACTTGGGGGCGTTGTCGTTGACGTCGGTCACCCGGATCGTGAGCTGCGGATGATGCACGGTTAACGTCAGGTTAGTAAAAGCCAAGACTTGATCAAATCGCTGAACAATGTGTGTTGCCCGTCGTTTACAAGAGCGAAATTTTTCCGGAAAAATTAAAAACATTTCCAGAAAAAAAATGGGAAAACTTGAAATGTTTCCAGAAAACTTGGGAAAAATGAATTTTTTCAGGAAATAATTCGGAGACTTTTAAGAAAATTCTTGAACTGAACAACTACCCAGCCAAAATACTTTAACGGAAAATTGAAACTCACCCCGACGGTCGTGGAGAAGCCGCCAGAGTCCTCGGTGGCGGTGACGATGAGCGAGTAGACGTGCGGCTGCCGGAGGTCCTCGAAGTCCAGCTCCTTGGCCAGCTTGACGATGCCGTTGGAAGCGCCGATGTTGAACGTGCCGGCGCCCTGACCCTGCGCCTTGAGCGTGTACCGGATGTCCCGGTCCGCGAACGACTTTGCCTTCACCGAGATGATGCTGTAGGCGAAACCGAACAAGGTGCGTTGGTTAAAAAGGATCTCAAGAAAGGGGGGAAAATAAAAACAACCAACGACAAAACGAAGAAGAGTCCCTCCCATATGATGTGGATACTCACTCAGAGTCCTTCTTCTGGTTCTCGGGGATCTCCGCCTCGTACGAGGGCATGTAGAACTGCGGCGCGCGCTTGCCGCCCACGATGGACAGGCGCTCCTCGGGCGTCGACTGGAACTTGTGGCCGTCCACGCGGCCGTTCTGGTCCTCGGCGCGCACGTACAGCACGTACTCCATGTCCAGCTGGAAGAGGTCCGTGCCGCGGGTGCGCACCACGCCCGACCGCTCGTCCACCTCGAACCGGCCGCCGGCTGCAAGAGAGAGGACGAGCATACGTGAGCAATACGGCGGAGTGTTTATGGGAAATGACTGGATGTGACTGGAAGTGACTATGGAAGTGACTGAAAAACTGTCTGGTCACAGACGCAGACACTGACTGGACGAAGAGAGACCCCTCGGCTTGGGCAAGCTGGCAAGCAGTTCAGACACCCCGAACAGCACCCCCAACAGAGGGGGGTTGCTGCCCCCCTCCTTCCCTTACCTTTTCCTTTCTTCAGCCGCCCCTCCCTCCCCCCTCTCCGTCGGTAGGCTGCCGGATTAGCCCTTGCCTTCACGCCTATTAACCCCCTTTCCGGTAGGGGTGGCTCCCCGGTTAGGCCCGCTGAGCACAGAGGCGGGGGGTGGGGGAGGGGGATGGGGGGCGGTGTGTGGACAAGTGTGTAGGCGCGACGAATTTGCACACACACACACCTCTGGAACAGGGTCGTCGGAGAGAAATTTCCAACTTCTTTTTGTGGGGGAGGGGACTTCAATCGTGATCGGTACAACGTACGGAGGAGAAGTCGCCTGGCCACAGCCCGGCCCCGGCGGCGCTACCCCGCGCCCCGCGGCGACTCCCGTGATGGGGTAGCGCCGGGCCGGCGCGGTTCCGGTCTCTGCTTCTCCTATCATCCCGGCTAGCTCCTCCGGTATCCTCCGGGCGAGGCAGCGCCGGAGGCGGCACCTGGCGCCCTCCGGCGGAACCAGACCAGGAGGGGGGAATGATCGCACTCGATCCAGCGGCCCCCTCGCCCCCTGGTCCTCTCCCTTCCTTCATGAACGGCATCAAGCCGAGCGAAACATGACTCGCGCCCTCTATTATCCCGCGCCGTATACGCATGGAAGTTTAAGCGGCTCAGATTCGCGACAGGGGAGGAAGTAGCAGCACAAGGACTTAACTACTTCACGGTTCACTTGAGTGTTTCAGAGGTCAATCGCGGTGTATACACGGCCAAAGGGACAGCCAAAAGAAGGCGCGAGTACTCACGCGGGTACAAACGGCTCCCGCGCATGCCATACAGCCGGACATAGCACAAGTAACTGGTGGGAAGTGAAAAGGTCCAATCGGACTTACGCCCTAATCACTTTTCACCAGTGCAATTAATCAGCCCGTAAGATTTCCCCCCGCGCGGAAACAAACGATGTCCATACTTTTAAACGCAAGAACAAACTGCAGTTTCTTTAAAAACAAAATCAAGTATTAATAAAAATTGTCCGTCCCCTTATTGAATCTGCCTTCTTTTGAAGTGTGACTTTCGGACGATTAGACCAGTAAGTACAGTCCTTAAGGTTTTGTGCTGTTGCAACTTGTAACTCACTAAGAAATTGTACAGTATTCCTTGACTTTATCCTCAAACTACTAAACGTTTTCCTGGTACCGTAATTCCGGGAAGCAATACTGACGTGAGAAGAAGCATACCGGGGGACATTCACACACCTAAAGTGTGCGACACATTCACACACATGCAAGTGTGCTACATTCACACACACCAAGTGGTGTTCTAAGCGTGCGACGCTACCACTTACTCCGGTCGCGCACGATGAAGTAGTGGATGTTGTGGTCCGTGTCCGGGTCGCGCGCCTGCAGCGTGAACACGGGCGTGTTGGGCGGCGCGTTGAGCTGCACCACGGCCTGCATGGGCAGCGGCCGGTTGATGAAGTACGGCGCCTCGTCGTTCACGTCCTTCACGTGGATGATGACCCGCTGGCTGTCGGTGTCTGCAACAAACCACCACATTATGATTATTATTACCCACTGACTGGTATTTTTAAAAATATCTATTTGAATGCAATTTGTTGAGGAGAAAATTATCCTTAAACTTATTGTTTTGTTTTCTTTAACTGTCCCAGCGTCCGAAGAGGCTTCGCAGCACTTAATTTAAGCTGCGCGCCCCGCAGAGATTCCAACCCGTACCGTCCCGCTTAAAATTGCAAATTTCCAAAATTTTCAGGAAAATTTCCAAAATTTTCAGGAAAATTTCAAAATAATTTCTATTTAATTTGTATTTAAATTAACGGAAAAACTTCCAAAGTCTGGGGAATTTCCCATCTCTCCGGAAACTTTCTGGGGCTTCCGCCCCGTACCGTCCTGCTGCGAGGAGCAGTGCGAGCGGGCGGTCAGCCCGCAGCGTAGGCACCCCGCCGAACAGACGAGCGCAACGGGACGGCATCCACGGGGAGCCAGGCGGGCCCGCGGCGGGGGGACCCCGGGGGACGCGTCCGGATGCGGTGCAGGTATGTGAGCGAGAGAGACGCTTCATCACTCGCACCTACAATTTCGGACGCGTGCCGCGGGTCGCTTCGGTCCCGCCCGTTTGAGAATACTGGGAAAAAGGCGTCTCCATCTCTTTACTCTCTGTCTCCCTCTCTCTCTCTCCCCCCCTCTCTCTCCGTTTCTCTCCCTCTCTCTCCCTCACTCCCTCCCCCCCTCCCTCTCCCTCTCTCTCTCTGCTTATACCAGTGCACGTGCGCGTGGGCGGGTAAACGTTATGAGGCAATGAAATCAAACGAGGCCGCGTTTAAAGACCTTTTATTCCCTCAACTAAACCACGATCATTTAAAAAAAAAGAAAGAACACGATTTAACAGCGGCGTTTTATTACCCTGCTTTTGAAATAATGAAGGCTAAAAGAATGGTGAATATTAGAAAAGAGGGATAAGCAGAAGCAGGTCCGATGTTGAAAGTGAGCAGTTTGTCCAGATAATAAGCGGCCACTTTAAATATCGAACGCACAGCGTTTCTTTGAAAAAGACACGCGACCAAGAGATGAATTGTTGAATACAGGATTTGATTTGACTGACGAGCTGCTGCTGCCAGAAGAATAGAGGTTGGATCGGATAGAGTTGAAAGAGGGGGGGGGGGGGGGAGGGTTACGTGCTACTGATTATTTTTGTAAGGGCTTACGGGCGTGGGGGTGCTAGGAGAGGAAAGAACAGGAACCACAACAAATCTTTATCAAAACGGGTAACTTTGGCCACAAGAGGCTGTCCAAAATAAAATGCGGGGTAGGCGTGACGCGAGGCGTGAGGGAGTTGGGTTATTGGGAGCGAGGAGGTCCTTCACTCAGAAAAGTCAGTGTAGACCCCAGAAAAAATCCACAAAAAAAATCAGAAGAAAATCATTAAAAATCAATCAAAAGTCACAAAAAAATCACAAAATTTACAAAAAAAAAAAAATCACAAAAAATCAAGAAAAACAGAAAAATTGGTGTACGCTAGAATTTATAGTGAAGGGTCGGGAGCGCGTACCGGGACTGACGGATTATTACCGGTACGTACACCAGAAACCCAAGTGTGTGAATGTCGCACACTTGCATTGCAATGATTACACTGGTAAAACAAGTGTTTAATGTTGCACGTCAATTGGTGTCTAAGCAGTTCAAGTGTGCATTATCTCAACACATTTTGGTGTCTAACTAGGTTAATCGTCAATTACTTGTTTAAACTTTCGACACAATTAAGTATAGCAACTGCACATCCTATAGATTTGTGTGTGTCAAAGTGTGCAGAAACGTTTACAAAACGTTTAAAATGTGCAGACCACGCAAGTGTGCAACTTGAGTTAAACACCATGTACTGTTTAAAATCATAACGTGCACACGTTGGTGTTTAAATTATGCACACTTGTTTTACCAGTGTACCTATTCGTACACTTAAGGGAGTAAAGGTATGAACTATCCTTTGAAAAATTCTCACACTTGTGCCTTTATGTACGAATGCTGTTCACACACCTACAAGTGTGCGACAACTTGGATTTCTGAAGTACAAATTGTTATGATTACACTATCCGCCGAGTTTGTAAGAACATAAACAGGGCCCCTTTCTTGTCTAAAAGCGGACGGGGTGAGACGAAACATTTTGAACAAAGGGGTGGGTGGTGGGCAACCACGAGCAGGCGAAAGCAGTTGCAGAGAATTACCACCGAACAATGCGAGCACGCCCCTAACTGGTACACTGTACAGTTCAGCACTTATTGCAATTGCATCACAGAACTTTTAAGCGTTAGACAGGATATTTGAATAATATAAAAACGTGTTTTAATCCGGTAAAGTGTTCAACTTTAAGGTTTTGACACTTTCATGTGTTCAATTCTTTACTCTTGAACTATTTCAAGTGTTGAAATTTCCGGGTCCCACACCGACAGTGTAGGTCCTACAAGAGTGTGCACCATAGAGTAGGGACCACAACCACGTGAATAAATGCCAGTTGCACACACATTTAGTGTTCACAGTGTGGAGGAGAAATCCATATAGTTCCACGACTCACGACTAAAAACACTAAATTAATTTCACGCCCCTCTGACGAGGAGCGTGCATGCGTGCTCTCCCCCTCCCCCACGGAGTGTGACAATCACGTGAGTGTGTGGACACACGTGAGTTTCGTGTGTGTGTGTGTGAGAGAGAGAGAGAGAGAGAGAGAGAGAGAGAGAGAGAGAGAGAGAGAGAGTGTGCACGGACCCAATTAAGGCGGTAGGAGCGAGTTTTGGTTTTTTTCAGAAATCGGTAGTGTATGTTACGCTGATACA